TTCAGATACAGAGTCCGAACGAATGTATTCTATCACACACTACGAAGAGCAATCCACATTAATTGAAGAGATAAACGGACATTCATGGTTTAGTGCACCATAGGGACCACCTGTGAAACATCTTTAACAATCTTCACCTCACCAGTAGCAAAAGCGCCAGCGTTTAGAGACTTCCACCGTTTCCTTAAAGCGAAGCCCTTCCTGACAAGCAGAGCAAGTACGGATATGGCCTTGGGGGATTTGATATGGTGAGTTTGTCAAGTACTCTTCCAGCTCAGCCAATAGTACTATGTACGCAGCTCTAACGTTACTGATGTGTGCTTGGTTCCTGAAGACAAGTTGCCATAGCAACAGGAGCTGGTGAAATGATACCGTTCGAATTATGAGCTTTTTACAGACACGTTAATATCCTCGGGAAAGTGTATCACGAAATATCACCACTTGCTCTTGTTGGTGGATATGTGCATACGACGAGGGAGATGACCAACACCGTTCTGGTCCTATATTCATCTACCATTCATTAAATGTCATCAGCTTAGATAGCTTTTCCCTTTTCTTTTACTCCGCCATCAGGTTTATTGAACGTCATCTTCACTGCAGTAACGGCGCTAAAATAACTTATATCCTTGTGCTCACATCTCTTCTGGCATTACACCCGAACTCACTGTACATAGAAGCACGGCACCTAGACGAACTTTTGGCAGGGTTCTTTCATCCCTGTCTAGACGAGCATATAGATCTAACCATATAGATCTAATAATAGATCTAACTATAGGGTGGGAGGTCAATTTGAGCCTATCGATTATCGCCATCGGGGAACGCTGCTCCCAGTTATGGAAACAGTCATCGCATGAGGTTTAACGGGTTACGTGATAGACCAAGGTACCATCGCACCGGAGCAGCACTGTTTCCGTCAACATCGACTATGTGTCACGAAGCTGTCAATTGCACTCTAGAACTGGATCGAAGCAGTTGACAAGAGGGAAGGAACCGATGGCATCTGATTGGACTTCTCAAAGGCGTTTGATCATCAAGATCATCGTATTCCGCCTTATAGGATTTTTTACCAAGATAGGGTGAATTTAGTGTTGGGTTGCAAGGGTCAATTTCTATATGAAAATTTCTCGGAATACCGCAACACCTACGTAAGTTCATCACTCAAGGGGCTGGAACAAATTGGGGAAACCTACATTGGTGGTCAACATACAGGGATCTAGATTCCTAAGTTTTGCCTGTTGAACGTACAAACAAAAAAACGATGCGGTCAAATTAGAGATGTAGTCAGGATATTGAGGTGGTCAATTTTTACCCAATTTGAGTCGATCGCGATGCACCAAAAGGCTCGGTACTTGGGCCTCATCTGTTCCTAAGCTTCAGTAACGATATAGCGAGTCTTCACCTCAAATTTTTATCTTTTGCGGACGGTGTTGCATTTTCGCGAGTGACCAGGTGGTTGAACGACCGCAACTTTCTCCACCAGGACTTTTGTGAGGTCACCAACTAGTGGGTAAGGAACGCGCTGCAATTCAATGTGGAGGGATGCCGAGTTGTTCAAATCCGCCACTAACACAGCTTTGTCTACAAGCTTGGGGTGTAGGACTTGCAGATCAACTCTGGGGAATGCGACCTCAGTCGTACCAGACAATCTAAGTCAGCTTCAAAGAGAGACAGCTAACATGGTGGTCTCTTGCGGAAGGCACTCGGGAATGTGGGTTCATCCATTTTTCCTTAATGCTCAGTGCGTACGTCTGTTGACACGTCAACTACTCTATTCAAATTTGGCAGCCTTAGCCAAAACGTGGCCTCGCATCGTTCAAATAACGCAGAATGTCAAGTACGTGTCACCTTCCTTTCAAGGAACAACTGACGAAACTAGAAGTGCTTAGTGGACGCAAGTGGATGCAAGTGGCGAATACAGTGGGTCCTCGTAATGATATACCAAATATTGACCAATCCTATTCACGTATGCCGTCACCAGTTAACTCTCAGTTTTAACAATGATCGGAGAAGAAATACCTTGAAATTACTTCAACAATACAGTGGCACAGATAGTCCTCGAACCTGCTTCTCTCTCCGAATTTGCTAACTCCAGATTTCGCTTACAATCTCATTTGTTTGTGCCTCCACTTCAATTAATTCTGAAAAACGGTTGGATATCACACTCAGCTCCGCGCACTTTGTTACATGAAAAAATAACAGTGTGTCAGCCGTACACCGTGACGGGGCTTCGCTGCCGTGCGACCACCAACAGTCGTACGTGAGCTGCGGATACCGCGAGGACGTCCACCCCTACGCAGATTCGAACCCGCGCCCCAAGATTACGATACAACTCCGTTACCTGTAGGCTACGGGCCGACACATGAAAGGATACTCTGGAATTATAACACGCTGATGAACGCAACTCGATGAAGGCGGGTGAGCAATCCGGTTATTTGTACATCAACCATTATGAATGATATTTTGGGCAACAACTCTGCTCCTGCTGTTTCATTTGTACATGTACAATCCTTACTTTTGCGGGACCTTACTTGAATTACTCTTTTTATTAGTCACAAACCGTTGTGCTATTATTGTTCCCTTGTTTTGCAACGTTGTTCACAACGGCACATGTGGGAATCGCCTTGATGTGCCAGTCCCACCTTTGCTTGCGTGAATAAGGAGACCCGTTTGGAATCAAAAGTTCGTCATTCTGTTCGGCCCATCGAGCTAATGCTGACTGCTCATGCACATAACCTCATCAATGAAAGCACAATTGGCAAAGCTTTTGCTGCTACTAATGCACCGACCACGGTGAACCAGCTTCTGCATCCCAAAGGGCCAAAGTTCTATCCAGAGATGAAAATGGTGAATAACAGACGATAGAACATTGTCCAATCGCTTAGGTTGGAAAATAAGTTTGCTACTTAAGACAAATTTGTAGGACATATAAGTGACGGAGAAGCAATTTAGACGAATGGCTATTGTCATACCTGAGCGGCAGTTCTCAGGTAATTACCACAGCCGACCATCACTCTTAACCAGGTCCGGTCAATAGTGGTGTTATTCAAGGGAGTGTATTTAGTCCGTTACCGTTTCTGCTCTACGTTAATGACATCACTGCCGTTATCAGACATGGCATGCCCCTTCTATTTGCAGATGGCAGAAAGAGAGTCTACAAATTCCGACGAGCTGAACTTCAAGATGCACTACTGCTCATACAGGAAGACCACCACTCTCTTGAGAGGTGGTGTGACACTTGGATGATGAATTTCTCGGCGAAAGGATGTAGCATCATGTATCGCGGCTGTTCGTTACCCGAGGGATCAATTACACTCAACGGCGAACCCCTTTGTGTACAGCTCTCTACCCGCGACCTCGGAATCAGGTATACTTGCACCTTCAAGTTTTCTGAACAAGGGGAATAACAGCTGGATAGGGCCAGAAAATAAATAGCTAGTATATTACACAAGATCCACATAACCTCAGTCAGAGTAGAACTCTACGAAATCCTCACTCGCCGCATTTTGGAATACTGTAGTATCATTTATGGCAGTATGGGGAAATCCGACAGAGTATCTGGAAAGCATACAAAGGTCATTTCCCCAACGTCTGCTAGGCATAACATCCCTTAAGAACTATCGGAAACGCTGTAAACAATCCCAGCTCGATCTGCTTTGGCTACGAAGATTGATGTTGCTGTACAACATGCCTCATGAGAACTGTCACTGCTATTTGCCCTCCCTAGAACTACAACATAGTTCGACAAGGGAGTTACGCAATAAGAAGTTTACCCTGAGTGCAGGGTAAATCTGCTGTCCTGTGGAATAAGCTCCCAGTCACAATTAGTGTGAGAGCGCAAAGGCCTTTCGCGTTAAGCTCATCAAGTACCTAGATTTGAAGATGGTTATGATCCTGTTCTCTTGGGAGAGAACACTTGATGGTTTGTACCAAGAAATGCTAGACAACATCTAATGAGTAAAAACCTTTTTCATACTGTATGCTGATACCATTCACTATTTCAAATAGTGCACATTGTGTCGAAACAGACCTGTGGGTTAATACAAACCGTTGCAACAGTAAAAGCAATGAAAATCACATAACTGTTTACCATTCATGCAGGTGCATAAGATATTCTGTAAAATATGAGCTGTGCCAAATATGGCAACAGTTTCTATCTCAATAAGAAATATACCTATTATTATTATTATCGATAGGTGTTGCTCTTTATCTAGGTGTTAGGTGTTGCCATTTATCTAGGTGTTAGGTGTTGCCCTTTATCTACACCGCCCTCCAGCATCTGTGTGGACGCAAGCTATCGTGCTCTTATTGTCCCCGGTGCACGGGTACTCCTTGCCTGCATGTGCCACTGCTTGCCAAAGAACAGTGGATCGGCTTCCACATCCCTTTCTCCATGGGGTAATTCATTAAGATAAAGTTCTATCCAAGTATGAGAATCTCGAATAAAAGAACGTGGTGCCATTCCGAAATAAGGCTATACTGGTCAGTTGAAATTTGGACGACAGGTATATGGTGGAGGAGCAGAATAAACAGCTAAAAATAAATTGAATTAAGTTGTCATGTTAGACCAATTTCTGGAAAGAAATATAATGTATTCCGTATTCTTAATATACGAACGTGGCTGCATAAGTTACAAACACTCTGTTGATTGGCGAGAAATACACTTTTAAGGACCGACTTAGTTCTTTAATTTTTTAACTTGCTTCTTTAGTTGATTAGTTTTCTAATAGGTAGACCGCTTTGTTTACCTCTTCTTCTGGTTCATGCCGGATAATCCCCGCTTCATTTGTCGTCAGTCGCCTATTTTACTTAGGTCTGCAAGCTATGCCCACGGATAGGAGCATAATGGTCTAATAAATTGTTCGCTGACTTGTAAACTTAACTGACGGTGCCTGAAAATTCTCCGCTTTAGATTAGGCTCGAACAAACCTTAAGAGCTTGATTACCAGACGTGTATGAGCGTGATAGTTAGAGATGCAAATCTGGCGTTGGAAATAACAAACCTTGTCATATTTTAAAAATTCTCGTAGACGTTGTACGCATTGCGCTCCATTTTTTCTATTAAACTGCGACTGGTAGCTAGTTTCATTAGTCGGCTTGTCACTTGTGTCCTTCCACCTTAGCAATTCGACATTGCCCCTTTGAGCCTCTACGGCTGCATTCGATCTTCTGTACACCTAAGGAGCTTGAAACAACCTCTAAAAACACAAGGCTCACCTTCTCGAAAGTGAGAATGTAATCCGAATGGCAAAATCGGTTGTCACGCTTTGAAAATAGGTGTTTATGCGGTGGTTCCTAGGTGGAAAAGAAACCGTCCTCTGTAACAGAATGCTATTTACGGATAATCGCTTGACAAACATCGCCGGTGGTATCGGTTTGGCTTTCTGTCGATAGCGTTCATTCTGCTCTGACCTGACCGCGCCATAAGCGTTTCCGAAATATCCACTAGGAAACTGAAATGTGGAGTTCTACATGGCTGGATACGTTCTAACCCATGATCCAGTGTAATGGGACACAGGCATATATGAGTCAGCAGTGTGTGGCCTCAGTGCACTAGGGAAGGCATTCCTTCACATGAAGTGCCCTAGTGGGGTGTGAAAAAGCAGATGGATTACAACTTCATCAAAACAGCAAACAAACAACATGGATGAATTGCACCAATTGTATGTCATAACAAAAACTGCTCAGTGCCATGGAATCCTGACAACTGTTGTTCATCACCAAACTGTATTGATGTCACATATCCTCGGACCGGTTTTGTCATGTTACAACGAACCACCGCTACATCTTAGTACGCCTGAGGATGTCCTTGTCGATACCAATACAACTGCAACTAAAGCTTGTAACAATTATTTTGCTGATTCTTTTACTACTGAGAACGATATACTTTGGGATCACCCCACACCGTACTGTGGGCAATGTATCACAAACCTAGATTTCGACACTGGTTTAATCAAGCGTCAAAGTAACCTTTTAAAGGCTACATTTCATCCAGGTCAAGATGGAATCGTTCCAGCACTTTTAATTTCCGATGGGAATGGTGTTCGCTGCTTATTACTGAAGTTGTTTATTACATCAATGGCAACTTGGTTTTATGCTGGTCAGTGGAAACTGCTGATGGTGACACCAGGCCATAAAACCAGGCCTAGACATAATGTTAACAATTAACGGCCCATAAATTACACAGCTATAAGTTCCAGAATCATAGGGTGCCTAGATAAAAATGAAATCGTTAAATTCTTAACCTTCAAAAAACCTTTTGTCACATTTGCAGTGCGGATTTACTCAAAAGCTTTCAAGTGTCACTTGCTAGTTAGATTTCTTTGAGCACTTAACGAAGTCGACAGACTCTGATAATACCTGTATGGTATTTCACTTGAACCATCAAAAAGCAATTCCCAGAGTTTCACACAGAACGCTTATGCATAAACTTCGCCTTTGCAGAATCGCAGGATCATTACTATCCTGGTTAGAAGCCCACCTCACTGCTCAAAAGCAGACAGTCAAGAAAGATGAGTAGCTTCCGGAAACAACAGAGGTTACTAGTGGCTTGTTACAAGGTTGTGTACACGACCCTCTTCTTTATTTGATATGCCTAAATGATCTTTCCATTCAATAAGCCATGGTAGACTTTATTTGTTCGGATGATATAAAAAGTTCGTATGTCACTGATTCTCAATCTCCGTCTTTTATATCTGTGATCCAAAATGACCTTATTTCCTTGGAAGACTGGTGTATCGGATGTTCCATGAAATTTTCAACATCTAAATGCAGCATTATGTGCTACGGATGCTCGGTTCCACCTGAATGTCCGTTTTTCCATGTTATCCCACTACCTTTATGCGAATCGATATGTGACTTAGGTCTCCGTTACTCAGGTTTGTTGAATTTCAAAGCAGAATTTGAGTGTATGGTGGCTAAAACACGACAGACTATTGGAATGATAGGCCGCTTGTTTATAACAAGCGATGCTAAGCTTCTGTTATTCAAACTGTATGCCAGACCATTATTAGAATACTGTGCTACCACTTTTAGTAGCAGTAGAAGATGTAAAACGAGTGCAATCGAAGCTACACAAAGGTCACTTACCATAAGAATCATGGTCTTCACCTCTAAGCTCACCTATAAAGATAGATGGCATTTCTTAAAAATCTAACCGCTATGACTTCGAAGACTAAGACTGAATTTACGTATATTATTCAAAATTATCCACTAACTGACATACACTAGTTACTATCAGCCGGTATTCCAAGAATATTCACCGTATAACCTAAGAAACAAATACTGTGATACAACTCCCTCGTTGCAGTAGACGTCTACGGTACAACATCTTTACACACGAATATCCGTCGCTATGGAATAGATTGACTTAGACCATCAGGAATTCATCTTCGCTTCGAACATTTAAGATGCAGCTGATAGAGTATTTAACTGTTAAAAAACTTAACGAATTGTTTCCTGTCTGTTGCACAGATTAATGGGTGTCCGAGAATGGGCCTGATTAACATCTAAGTACTTGCGGAATTAGTAATATAAAAGTACAAATAAATATGGTGAGAAGGGCTTGTCAACAACGTGAAACACGGTCTTCCCCTATCATGAGCTTTTCTTCCTAGCTTACTTAGATTTGTCTCTCATTCCTTTCTCCTGCTTTGTCATATCCTTCGGTATTAAGCAAACTGATAACCCAAAATTGGCCCATGAAAAGACTGCTACGTCCATAGGTTAGATAAATGAGATCTATCTCAGATTTTCTCTTAGTCTATACTGGTATATTCTTTGTGTTACTCAGAGTGATGGCCCGTTGGTGACCTGTGAAAACATGGGCACGTCGATGAGTTGGATAGATGAGATTTGTCTTCGATTTGCTCTTCATCTACCCTACTTCTTACTGTGCTCTCACTTAGCTTGAAGACACACTGATGGCATTTGAAAAACATATACACATTGGTGGGTTGGATAAGTAAACTTTCTGTTACACAGCTAGGTGAAACGCATGACTGCTTTACAGGTGAATTGTTGATGGCCGCAACTAACCCACCAAATTTATGTACGCAATTACATAGGCCCTGTGTTCTCAAATCTTACCCCCTGTGTGAGGTAAGTCATGACTTCTAACAGATCAACGTTTCACGATGGAGGCAGTTCTCAGTGTAACGTTTGTCGTGTTATCAAGACTGCTCACACACGTTTACCATTCATAAGTCATTGTTAGATACCAATGTTATGAATTTTTGAATCACACTTTCCATGTACATATTGTCATTCGTCTCCTAAAACGTTGTTATTTTGATTTCTTTTCCCAAGCATCTGCCTAAACCTATCCGAACATTTTGCAATTTCCGTGGATTCCGACGAATTTTGAAACGAAATCAATGACGTAAGGATCAAGTGTTTTACACAACAATTTTGTAAAAACATTCTACATTACCTTTGTGCCTTATGATCAGACCAGCTTAGCTGGGCCGTGCCTCACCTAGTTGAGAATATACCAATGAGTAATGTTTTGGTTTCTGTGTGAGCAGAGCATGGCTAGGAATACAGTGTTACCACCTAGAATGGTGTGAGCCAGTGCAATAGTATTGAGGACTATCTTTTAAAAGATGGCCTATAAATCCTAAAGAGGATGGAAACAGTCTATTTCGGGCTGGCTAACTGGCAGCGCTGAAATGCGTTTAAACGTTTGATGCATGATAGGTTCTGGTTTCAGTTGGATGCCCTGTTTGCGTTGTGTGACTTCAAATAGGGCAGCGCTCGGTAACAACATAAACTGCGGGCATTCGACTCCACAAGACTGTAGACAAAAATGTGTTTGGGTCTATTCCAAAACCGTCGAATCAGGTCAGCCATATGTAGGCGGTATATCTGTACAGCGATTGTGGGCTTGTGCAGAGAAGCGTGTTTTAAATGTGATACGCTATGCGAACGGAAGCTCCTCTATGTGAGTTTACCGTTCTGTATTCAGTCTAACAATGGTGCTCTTCTGTTCTCAACTTTGGTGTTGAGTGTGGCATGTTGTACTTCACCACGTTCGAGGCACTAACCCCTCTGTGCAGTTGAATGGGCCGAACTCGAAAGACTCGCTAGGCACTAATGCGCATACTAGGTTTCGTGAACTTGAAACTCAGATGAAACGCTGGCTACGCAATCGCTGCCTTCGGTTGTGCGTCCTAACAAGTGGAATCATAAAGTTATCGGTTCGAATCCGCGTAGGGGCGGGCGTCTTCGCGGTCTACTCAGCCCACGCGCGACTGGTGGGGCCGTGCGGCAGCGGAGTGCCATTACGGCGTACAGCTGACACATCACCTAACAGGTGGGCATGCCGAATTTCAGACCAATTTTCAGTTGTTGAGTGTATGATAACCTGGTTATGTGCGTGGTATACAAATTATGCAATTTGAAGTAACTATATCTAAACACAGTAGGACAGTTATCAAACATCCGGGAACGACTAGCAGTGCGCATCCGGGCTGTCCCCTTCTGGGGTTAGAGTTCGCGACCCAACTATTACGAGTCCGTGGTTAGGAACACTGGGTCACTAGGCGACGACGACCGACGTCATCAAGTTACGGTAAGTGATACGGTACGGCTCATTCTCCACTGACGTTAGATAACTGCCGCGCATAGAACAATAACCCGAATCACTCACTCGTGAGATTAGTCGTTGGTTCTAACGTCACAGAGAACAAATGTTATTTGTTAATGTGCGTTGCTGGCGATTTTCAAAAGGATGAAATGGTCCTATAGTTCTCCCGGACTTGTGATGGTTGTCTGGCTGAGGCTAGATATGATAATTGCAACTTATATCGGTTAAGTCACGTAGCGATTCCCAGTATGAAGATTACTTAGTCGAGGCCAATCCTGAGATGAGCTTTGTGGCTTGCTTACACGTTTCGTGATAATCAGACCTACTGTGCATGCACACAAAAACTAATTGTTTCTCTGCTAACTCATACCCGGTTGTCTGTCTCCGACTAACCACTTTGTCGCCGCGGCGGTGACAGATGTAGACATCGGTTAGTTATAGCCTAAAGAACCGCTCACCTCGTGACCACACATTCACACTGACCTCGGATGGGTGGTCACGGGAACGCAATTATCGTCACCTATTGATAACCGCCCCGTATGGTTGTGTGAGAATCCAAAGCGCTCAGTCGCTGAGGTCAACTGGTGCAGGCTAAAAGTACTCTGTCGCTCAGCGTACACTAGCAATAGTTCATACTCCCCTTGCGATCTGGCTGGCAAGCGGTCATGTACAGCACGTGTGCTCCTGCTATGAAGCCGAAGTAGCTCGGGCCACAAAATTACAGGGTGTTTTATTAATCATGTCCAGTTGGTAGTTCCATCGCAATGAGGCTGGACCTTACCGTGGTGCAATGGTTTGTGTGCCTCAGTGATCCATTGAGCTATACTAGGTGGTGCATTTTTGCACCTTCAGAGCCACTCATACCAGATTGGTCAAGGGTTAGAGGCCAGACAAACTCAGCCTCCTGGTCCTCTAGCTTTGGTGTTGGAATGAGGTGGCCCTTTATTCCGTAAAATGGACTCCTTGTAGCCCAACGCCAAACCCGCTGCCTTGCGGTC